AGCATGCTTTTCTGCTTTTTTTCTTTCCAGGTCGTCTCACTGCCCTAGGCATGCCAAGGAACACAGGAGGGCAGGTGAGTTGGGGTTTAGGCAGGCTGACTCATAGGCGAGTGTTACGCAGCAGCATGCTAAGCGTGTGCCTTTTCTTTTTGCAGGTATCTTTTGCGCACCTTCCGGATTCAAATGGAGACTTGAGGTGAGCCGGGGCGGTGGTGCGCAGGACTCCTGGGGATTACCGGTTTTGAGGACAATAGTCACTTTTTCTGTTTCGTCTTAGGTACTCTGAGGAGGCTCTTAGCCAAAGCTCGGAAACGGCAGTGCCGAAGCACACACCTTGAGAACGTCTTGACATCCATGTCCGACCGAGGATGGATTTTGTCCCCTCCCCCTGCGAAAGCTAAGTGTCGGGGCCCGTGGTCGGGAGAAGGGGAAAAACCTTTAGTATCACAGGGGGCAGTTTCATGTCAGCGTAGCGGAGAGGTCTGTAGCGGGACGGGCCCTCTGGAAGTGAAGGGAGAGGCTTTCTCTTCAGCTTCATCAGAGCCTTTGCCGGGCAGGGCAGTTCCGACCCCTCTCCACAGCGTCACGAACTTTGCGTCGTCAGCCTTCCTCGACTTGGCATCGTCACGGATCTTTCTCCCGAGGAGCTCGCCTTCGGGTCTGCAGCTATAGCCACGATCACTCGGCCGTCCGCTTCCTTCTCTAGGCTTGCTGAGCCTCTGGAGCATCTTCTCAACTGCTTTGGCACTGACTTCTTTTAATGAGTTACATTTCATTAACACACGCTATTGTCATAGGGCTTCCTTCCTTTGGAGTCATCAGCTGTGCATCGTTCTGATGCACTGGCTGTGTGTCAGTGCTGCTATTGTGTCTAGACTTCAGGCTGACTGACCTCACTAATGCCCAGCTGAGAGAAAAATAATAAATGCTTCGGGCCAGGTTGGCTCTTTACACTTAGTGAGCTGTTTGGGCACTTTCTTTAAACCTCTGGTTGCTGGGTTTTTTTCTTGTCAATGTAAAAAAATGACTATTTTACAATTTATATGTATATAGTTATGCAGTCACCCTGTTCTAGGATTAAGAGTTCTGGAATACACATCTGATACAGTGGCCTTGTGCTGAGCTTGGCTTTTGGGGACCACCCTTCTGTAAGGGATCTCTGTGTCAATCTGTCTCAGTTGGGGTAAGGAGATCAGATGCTGAAGCAAAAATAAAGATGGTACCCTCCCAACAACAACCTGTACAGCCTGTGCAACCTGACAAATCTTCCTTCTCAAGGAATTGCCCCTCCCAAAGGGCAGTGAGCAGCAGATCTGAGCTGCTTTACAATGCGTGCCTTTTGCATTCAGGAATCTCACACGTGGGAGGGGTGGCTGAGGTTCTTGGGGAAAGCCAGCAGGAAGGCAAGGGCTCAAGCTTGGCTCCACTGTTTTGGCTCTGTACAAGCACAGAAAAAACTGAGCATGCATTGGGTGAACTGTGCACTTTGGGTGTTCCCTCTGCTCCCCTCAGGTGGGAGGAAGGCTCCTGCTTTGGTGCCCAGCTTCATCTTTTGGCTTCAGGGAGAAATCTGGAATTCTTGCCACTAACAAAATGGCCAATAAATCAATCAAACTTCAATCTGTACACCCCTAGCAGGCCTAGGTCTTGAGGTTCAGGAATTGAGGATGACCAGGAAAAATGAAATATGTGTCTGCAGTCTGTTTTTCTATCTCAATGTGCCCAGAACATCCACTCAGCCTCTTAGGGACAGCTACAGCAAACAGGGAGGCTGAGGAAGAGCCCTCAGTGCAGGGCCCAGGTTTTTGCTTTCAACATGATCCAATATAAAATCCTAACCTGGCACCTGTGCAGGTGTGAGAAGCTGTGAGCACTGTTACCAACAGCAGCATTATTAAAATTAAGGATTGCTGTAGCAAAGAGATGAAAGACACATCTCTGTTACTGCAGGATGGAGGAAGTTAGCTCAGGTTATGTGAAATCAGGCACTGCTAACTCTGAGCTGACCTCTAAAAATGGTGTCCTTACCCAACAATTTGACTTTGCAATCAAAACTTCCTTTTATTGTACTCTGTAATTAGAGTATATAATATAATCAGCCCTTGATTTTGGTTTATTAAATGCTTATTCAGCACTAAGTGGCAATTAAGCATTGAAGTGCCTTCAGTGAATCCCAAAACCTGATTATCATCAGTCATAATAACTTTGCCTCACGTGTACATTTTGTCAAGTTCTGCAGATACGACTGCCAAAAATGCAGGAGAGAGGTTTGTGAGCTCCTCCTTATCCCCAGCAGAGGAGAACTGACAAGTGAAACCAGTGAGCTGTTCCTTTTAAAGATGTTAAAAATAAACCCCTTTCTCCAGCAAACTGCATTAACTTCTGCTACTTCAGCTGCAGGAATCTGCTGATGGAGCTGTGTTCACTGATCCCTGGAATGTAACACTTTGTCTCCATGCACATAGGACCTAGTTACAATTGTTACACTGGAAAAGTTGCAAGCCAAACTACACTGCCACAAAATAACCTTGGATATTAGGTAGATGCAAACATACAGCAAAAAAAAAAAAAAATCTTATTCCAGGCAATTTGCTGTTTGAGTTCTTGACATCTGTGCTAACTAGAGTACATGACGCTGAAACTCAGATTTGTTTAGACTTCATTTGTTTTTAAGGTGAGGATCTTAAAGATTCCTTTCTCAAAATACCTTTTATGTCTGTAAAGTATCTGTCAAAAGTTACGAGTGATCTCTTGAGCATCTGCCCTGCAATTCCTGTGGTAAAATTCACAGCTGCATCTCTACCCACGGTACCCTGTGACTCAGCAGCATTGCTGTGCTACCCAAAAAATGATATTTTCTGTTAATCCAGCTGCTCTTGTCTGGGAGTGCTGGGCACCAACCCCATGGCTGTAAACTGAGGCTTTCCAGTCGATCCTGCAGCTGTTTTTACCACGTGAACAATGAACAGAAGGTATTTGATGAATTTGTGGCAACTGCCGTGGGAAACTCAGATGAAAAACTACCAGCTGAAAATATTATTGTAACACTGACATTTGCAATACAATCTTATAATGCATACTGTGTTCTCAGTGGAATCATCTGCCTCCTGTTTGGAAATCTTCAGAACTAATCTCAGCAGTGTGAGCAGGCTTTAGTTCTGGGTGACAGCTCTGGCAGGACGAGGCTTCACAAAGAGGGAAAGGTATTCACTATGAAAACATGAGTGTGTCATTGGGGTCTTTGTGCTTTGATGTATCTAGATATTTTTCTATGTTCACTGCACTGTAAAAATATCAACCAAATAACTGTTAAGGAGCAAAAATAAACAATAAAGGGGCACTTTTTCATGGCGGTTCGGTGAGCTGTGCATCTGGGACTCCTCAGGAATGCAAGTTCTAATAAACTACTCAAAATGTTGCAGAGTTATCAACAGAAAAGGGTAATCTGCTCACAGACAGATAATTGCACTGGTAGAACACAAATACATGCATTATATATAAGTAGAAACATTTATAAGTAGAAACAGTTTTACTGGAGCATGTAGAATTAAAATACTGCACACAGCTAGCGACAGACAAATGAAATTGTCAGTATTTTCAAGTCTTTTGATTGACTTTCTGCTTTAAGGTGGCATTAGACTGAACTACAAGGTGTGTTTTTATACTGCTCTGTGGTCATTGTCCATGTAACTTGACCATGTCATGGGGTTTAGCTAAAGCCTTTTTTATCTTGCTAGAACAATACATAGTTCAAATTCTTAGATTTCCATTTTCAAAAATGAAAGTACAAACTTGGCCAATGAAAATATTTCTATGTTTAAAAAAAGTCTTGAAATAATTTATTTGCCCATGATATTGGTAATATGATATAATATGATTCAATAATTTATTTGTACATGATGTTGGTAATTTATTTGTACATCATGTTGGTATATGATTTCTGGTAAATATGCATTTATCAGAAAAGACCATATATGTGATTTTAACTGCTATGAAAATAAAGGTACAAATTCTTTTCCTCACTGAATAACATCCATCCATCTAAGGTTGTGGATTAATGCTACTCATCAGTGCTGCACAGTAAATTCAGAGTAAAACAAGGAATTTTAAATTTAAAAACTTGGGACCATATTAAATAAAACATTAAAAGAAGCAAATGTTTAGTTATGCCATATTGCTTTTCATAGCATAGCCTGGATGTGTTAGCCTGGTAATTGGTAAATAAGAAAAGGAGAAAAATATTGTCTGGAAATTTGACTGGAAAAAAAAATAAAAAGGATCTGGGAAAATCTAATTAACCTTCTTGTCCTTTTTCGGGTTTGGGTCCCTCCTAGTAAGTAATCCTCCGTGTTCCTGCTGTCCCGGAGGGCGCAGCTCCGTGGGTCACCCGGAGCCATTCCCGTTTCCCGTGCCCGTTCCCAGCCGGGGCTCTCCAACCCCGCCACGGCCGAGCGCAGCCGCGCCCCGCCCGCAGGGCGGGGCTTCCCTGCGTCAGCCAATCAGACGGCTCCGATTGCCGGATGGCCCCGCCCCCGCCTTTACACCAATCCCCTTCCCGTGCGTCGTTTCCTTCCCCGCCTCCATAAGCGGAAGATGGCTGTCGCTGCAGCCAATGGGGGGCGGGGGCGGGGCTGGCGGCGGCCGCGCGGGGCGCACGCGGCGGCCGGGGCGGCTCTGAGGGACCGGGAGTGGGACCGGGACCGGGACCTGGACACAGCCGGGATAAGGAACACCGGCAGGAACAGGGATTCCATGGTGCGGCCGGGATAAGGATCCGGTAAGGAATACTGGCAGGGACAGGGACAGGGACACGGCCAGGATAAGGATCCGGGTGAGGAACACCGGCAGGGACAGGGACTGGGTCCGGGACGCGGCAGGATAAGGAACACCGGCAGGGACACGGATCCCATGGAGCGGCCGGAATAAGGATCCGGGTGAGGAACACCGGCCAGGACGGGGATAAGGATCGGGATAAGGAACACCGGCAGGGAGCAGGGATAAGGATCGGGATGAGGAGCACTGGCAGGGACAGGGATAAGGATCCGGGATAAGGAACACCGGCAGGGACAGGGATAGGGACCGGGATAAGGAACACCGGCAGGGACAGGGATAAGGATCCGGTAAGGAACACCGGTAGGATAGGGACCGGGACACGGCCGGGATAAGGATCCGGGTGAGGAACACCGGCAGGACCGGGACCAGGACACAGCCAGGATAAGAAAAACCGACAGGGACCGGGACAAGGAACATCGGCAGGGACTGGGATCCCATGGAGCGGCCGCAGAAAGGATCCGGGTGAGGAACACCGGCAGGGACAGGGATAAGGATAAGGATCCGGTAAGAAACACCGGCAGGGATAAGGATAAGGATCCGGTAAGGAACACCGGCAGGGACAGGGATAAGGATCCGGTCGAAAAACACCGGCCAGGATAAGGGTCCGGTAGGGAACACCGGCAGGGACAGGAATAAGGATTGGGATAAAGAACACCGGCAGGGACAGGAAGAGGGATAAAGATCCAGTAAGGAACACCGGCAGGGACAGGGATGAGGATCCCGGTAAGGAACACCGGCAGGGACAGGAACAGGGATAAGGATCCGGCAGGGAACACCGGCAGGGCCAGGGATAGGGACCGGGATAAGGAACACCGGCAGGGCCAGGGATAGGGACCGGGATAAGGAACACCGGCAGGGACAGGAATGAGGATCCCGGTAAGGAACACCGGCAGGGATAAGGCTGCCAGGGCAGTGGGGGAATCACTGTCCCTTGGAAGTGTCCCAAACTACGTGGATGTGGTGCCTGGGGACACGGTTTGGTGGTGGCATTGGCAGTGCTGGGTTAATGTCTGGACTGGATCATAAATGTCTTTTTCAGCCTTAATGATTTGTGATTTAATGAAATACATGGATAAGGAAATTGTGCTGTAAGCACCAGCTGAGCTCACCCAGGTTTGGTGCAGATGGGAATCTTTATTAATGATAGTGACAGTCTGAAACAATAAAAAAAACCCCACACCCAGACAAATCTGGAAAAGGTCAGAAGAAGAAATGAAAGTTGCTGTTTGGGTTTTTTGTTTGGTAGTTTTACTCCTTTGGGGAAAAAAGGAAAACAAACTCTTCTATGGTTTTGGATATAAAAGTAGTTACAGAAATTACTGCCAAAGCTGTGATATGCATATCCTAAACTTTTATATAATCAACAGATATCCTTAAGTATGCTGTGTTGCAGAATTAACATTTCCTACAAGATACAGGGAGTGGAATTGTGAATTCTGTGTGTTACTGGCTCATATTGGTTATAATCCTATAATTCTAGATTAATTTTTCCTAGACATGTGTTACATATTTGAAAGGATGCAGAAACACAAGCTCTTTTCTTAGTATGCTGATTTTTAGGTCTGTAAGAACTTTGTTCTCAGAACTAAGTTATGCTAATACCTTTTATTTCCTCATATTTTCAGTGGGTTTCCTGTTTGAGAGAAGAATCAGATTCAGTGAAGTGTGTGTGCAGAGCAGCTCCTGAAGATAATTGTCCCTGTCAGCAGAATAATTAAACAGGTTTGTGTTCGTGTGAATCCCATGGTTAGTAGGTGCTGATTTTACGTGGTGCTGGTTTAAAGTTTGCATGTTGGTTTTTGTTTGTTTCAAGACAAAACGCATTTGGAGGAAAACACAAACAGGTGTCGCAGTCCCAGACCTTGTGGAAATAAATATATTAATTTTTTTTTCCACATAAGAGTTCTTCTGTGCATGAATTGATGATGTTCAGGTGGCTTAAAATATTTTTTTAAAAAGAGCATAGAATCATAGAATGGTTTGGATTGAAAGGGACCTTAAATCACCTCGTTCCAAGCCCCTGCCATGGGCAGGACACCTTCTACCAGGTTGCTCCAAGCCCATCCAGCCTGGCCTTGAACATTCCCAGGGATGGGGCAGCCACAGCTGCTCTGTGCCAGGGCCTCACCACCCTCACAGGGAAGAAATTCTTCCTGCTCTCTGTCAGTTTAAATCCATTCCCCCTTGTCCTGTCGCTCCAGGCTCTGGTAAATATTCTCTGCATCTTTCTTGCAGGCTCCCTCCAGGTTCTGGAAGGCTGCAATTACATCACCCCAAAGCTTTCTCTTTTCCAGGCTGAACAATCCCCATTCTCTCAACCTTTCAAGATGAATTTTTTTGAAATGTTTTTTTCTTTCACAGCATCATTTTTGCAGGGCAGCCCTGGGGTCTGGGCTGTACCTGGCTGTGTGGGAGCTCTCCTGAGAGACCAGATGGTTGTTGCCTGCTGGCAGCACTTTCCAGCTTTGTTGTGCTTTTTACTGGAAGTATAAAAAATAATGATATTTCCAAGCTTATCTGGGAAAAAAAAAAAAGAAAAAGGGCAAAACAGAAGGAAATTAACACTACCATGCTGCTTAGCTGTGTTGATCTGTGTTGATACCAGGCTGCCTCTGCAGACAATCTAAGTCTTGGGTTTATTTGAATGAAAAGATGGTTTTTATGGGGCTCAGCTTCTCCTGTGTGAGGACAAGCCCATTAGTGGCTTTCACACCAGACATTAAAAAGAAGCATTGAGAGTTGTGAATCAGGGTCTTGGCAAAGTTTTGGAGTGTGCTTTTGCACTCTGGAGCAGCTCAGGTGCAAGATGGGCAATGGAGGGTATAAGAAAAGCAGGAAAAGAGCATATTGCCCAATCCCTTGTGGGGTTAGGAAATTGAACCTCAAACAAACATGCCATTGCCCTCCTCAGGGATCTCCACCCTGACCCACCACCCACTTCTCCCTCAGCTCTTCCCCTTCTCATGTCCCTGCTACTCTCCCCGTTCCTTCAACAGAGGAGTTAAACACAAAAGAGTTACATAAATTCTTGCCGGTGCATTTTCCTCTCTTATTTCCAAAATTAAAGTAAAATTATTGTTTTGCTGTATTGTTTATAACCTTTCTTGCAATTGCTTTATTTCTCCAGCAAAAACTTAATTTTTTTGTATTTCTAACTTACTAACAACTTTTCACTTGCACCTCTCTGCAGCTCACCATCTGAGCTCATCCTCTCACCATACTGAGATCTTTTTTCCCCTACCTCTTATTTCAAGGCAAAACCTTGGTCAGCTTCTCATTAAAAATAAGATACAAAAGTGCTGTACAATTGGTGAGAAGACCAGCATTTAGTTAAAATTGGCAAACTGGAGTTGTGTGCTGACAGCACCTGGAATAGGAAGCTTCAGGTATTGTTCACTTTTCAATAATTTGAGGATCTTTTCATAATAATAATTTGTGTATCTTTGTTGCTATGGGAATGAGTGGGAGAGCTGGAATTAAGTGTTATTACTCCTTAGTGCAATCAGAAGGGACAAGCAGCTGTGAAAGCAAAATTTCTTGTTTAGAAACATACAGCACTTACTAGCAATTCTAACTGACTTCAGCTTTTATGCAATTCATGAAGGAGTTTTTTGAGGTAAGAGGATTTGATTTTAGTTTATTCAATGTCTGCCAGGATATATAAGGAAATACATGACTCAGCTTTGAAAGGGAGAAAAACAGATTTAAAGAAAAGTTAATTCTAGTGGTTTAATGTCTTGGGCAACTATTATTTTGCATGTGCATTGAACACTCCTGCTTCGGGAATGTTTGTGGGAGATAGATATGAGTGGAAGAGGTTGAGAGAGGATTTTGTAGTTGCTGGGTTTGGTTTGTTGATCCCTCTTCCATAGGAAATGTGAGTGATGGGTGTTTGGACTCAGCATTTGCTGGATGCTACAAGAGCAAATACAAATGCACACAGGTCAGTCATTTTCTGTGTTTATGTGTGCCTTGCATGGACATATGAGCTGCATCTGGTAGGAAGTCTGAACGATGCAAATCCAAATGAGACTTTATTAAAGAACTTGTATATTTTTAACCTCTGGTTCACAAAGAAAAGTTGTGCCGTAGTTGAATTTGGTTGGGTTTTTTTTCCTTCCATTTTTCGTGCTAGGCAGTTGTTAGCGAAGGCTGTGATTTTTGATTTACGGTCTGATTTGAGTAACGGAGGCTTTTAAAAGGAAGAAGAAAAATCCCGCTGCTTTATTAACTCCCGGTTAATTATTATTGTGTCGGTAATCGCCGTCCCGCTCTGGGGCGGTCACTGGCGACACCCGGTGGCCGAGAGCGGAATGACAGCCCCAGGGCTCTGGCCCCGATTTTTGGGCTTTTCCCCCAAACCTGGGCTTTAGGTGTGGCTGTTGCTCAGCTCCTTGGGCTGTCCCACAGCTCCAGCAGCGTGCAGAGGAGGCCACTTTAACCTGGAACCTCTGTGCACACACATGCCCTCTTACTAAATTCCTAACGCTGCTTTGGAAACTATGGGCTGAGCAAAAAACATGTATTGCTGTTGTCTGCCTGGCACTGTGGTGTCTTCCAGAAGGGAATCATGAGCCAGCTTATCTCAGAGTTGCTTGTTTCTCAGTCTGCCTTCCTATTTGGGTTCTTTGCTGTGCAAGGACAGTGCTGGGTGCCAGCCTGGCGGGGTTATAAAAGCAGATGGAGGCAGTTAAAGTTTTTACCCCCACTGTTAATAACTGGGAAGTGTTTTCTAAGATAAACTTTATGATTTCTGCTCCATATTTTATTTATGGTCAGTTTATACTTTGAAACTCTTGTGCCAGTATTGTTCTTGAGTAGCTCCTCTCCCTCCCCCAGCATTAATTCCTTTGATGTATTTGTAGATAGTAATTGTATCCCCTTCAGTCTCTGTCTTTGCCAAGCTACACAAGGCAAAGCGTCCAGCTACTTCTTGTGGAATAAACATTCCATTACCTGCAGCATCTCACCCTTCCTTCTCTGCCGTCAGCAAAGGGCACTGCTGGGAGTCTGCTATGACCCTGTGAAATGTGGATTTACTTCAGCATTGAGAACAAACATGGCTTGAGAGCAGAGTTATTAAAATGCAAACAACTCTTGGCTTTGCTTTTTATCCCTGCATTATTTTGGGGCAGCAGGCTGCTGAAGATGTTGGGAAGGTGTTTGTGGATCCCAGAAAAGTGAATTCCCCACCTAGGTCTTCAGGGTTTGTGGGTCCTACCAAAAACATGGAGTTCTGGTTTTGCCATCAGGGATTGTCTGTGCTGCTGCATACAGCAGATCTCTTGATCAGAAAATTTGGAATATCAATACCTGCACACTTTCTCCTTTGTCCTTCCCTTTCTTGATTTTATTTCTTGTGACTGGGTCCTAAATCACTTAAAGAGTGAAAAAACAGTTGAATGTGAACTTCCAGTGGAGTATGGAAGATCACTGTGCATTTGCATGTCATGAAAAGTAAAAGCTGATTTTTTAAAAAAATCTTTTATGGCATTGGTGAAGCTGTTGCTGGAGTTCCATGTATGGTTCCCTGTCTAAAGGCTCCTGAAAACAAAGAGCTGAAGAAAGTGCCTTGCATGGCCTCAATGTCGACATTCTCAATTCCTTAGCATCTTTTGTGGAGACTCAAAAGTAAATTCTCCTGATCAGGATGAAGGCAACATAGCTCTGAAACCCTTTATTTCAGCCTCTTCCATCTTCCTGTTGTCACTTAGACGACATCTTTTCCTTTTGTCTGCTACAAAGCATTGAAAATTGAGCTTAGGGCACAATAAAGATTCAGCAGAGCCTCCAGCTGTCAGACTGTGCACAAAGAGCATGTTTTGGAAACTGATAGTCTGTGAACTGCCACGGGCACACAGGGATCTCAGGTTTCTCTTGTTGCTTTGAAACTGGAGAGGGTCTGACAAATTACCTTGACGTGGGGATGTTCTGGAGCAGCTAAATATAAAAAAAAAAAGGATATTGTGGGATGTGACTGGCAAAGACACCTTAGTGATCTGCATGTTCTGGGGAAGCAGATGAGGAAAATGAGGAAAAGTCATTTTCCCTGCTTGGGCTTGGCAGATGTTTGTGCCTGTGCAACACATCTGGAACTGCAGAGAATTGCTTGGGCAGTGATATTATGTGACGGTGTTCACAGGGTTCTTAGATGAGGGAAGAGATGAGGATCTGACTCCATGTTTCAGAAGGCTTGATTATTTTATGATATATATTACATTAAAACTATACTAAAAGAATAGAAGAAAGGATTTCATCAGAAGGTTAGCTAAGAATAAAAAAGCAAGAATGATAACAAAGGTTTGTGGCTCGGCTCTCTGTCTGAGCCAGCTGCCTGTGATTGGCCATTAATTAGAAACAACCACATGAGACCAATCACAGATGCACCTGTTGCATTCCACAGCAGCAGATAATCATTGTTTACATTTTGTTCCTGAGGCCTCTCAGCTTCTCAGGAGGAAAAATCCTAAGCAAAGGATTTTTTATAAAAGATATCTGTGACAATATTAGAGTGGGGCTGAGAATTATCAAGCACACAAATGTTGTTTGTCTTGTATTCCCCTACATCTGCATTTAAGGGGAATCTTCTTACCTGTTCAGCAGTGACTGATTTAAGCTTGGGTAGTTTAGAAAAGAGTCCTGAAAACATAATAGTTTGTGTTCTGAAGAATGAGCTCTGATAATGAAGTGTACTTAAGGTAAATTACTGTTGTGAAAGAATTTCTGAAGTATTCCAGTAAATAAAA